GTGTAAAATGACGTTGAGCAATACCACCAGCTCCGTCAGAATAGGGAAGGACCTCTCCGAGCCGTTTGATACCAAACGAGGTTTCAGACAAGGGGACTCCCTTTCGTGTGATTTCTTTAATCTGATGATGGAGAAGATAATAAGAACCGCAGAACTGAACCGCTCAGGCAAAATACTTTACAAGAGCGTACAATTGCCTGCGTATGTCGACGATATCGATATTATCGGTAAAAAGAAGGGCTNCTCAGGCAAAATACTTTACAAGAGCGTACAATTGCCTGCGTATGTCGACGATATCGATATTATCGGTAAAAAGAAGGGCTACGTTTGTTCTGCCTTCGCGGGATTGGATAGAGAAGCAAAGCGAATGGGTCTGGTGGTGAACGAGGAAAAACGAAGTATAAACGGCCAAACTATTCCACCAATATTTAATATTAATTAATACTTTCACTCTGAGGATAAAATAACACGTTTTCAGCAGTGATCGGACTTCTACCACATTGTGGTAGATCTGCCACTTTTTTGAGCATCTACCACACAAGGTCTGAAATCTACCACATATTCGCGTTTTTGAGTACCTAGTTTAATTTTTGCTCGACATAATTTTCTTAATTTTAAGAGCAAAAATTGTCCAACACTAAACACTGTATGGTAACAAGAATGATATAATACAAGATTCCGGGAGGCGGCGATGCAGAATAAAATAAACTGTAAAATAAATACATTTTCTCAATAATAAAATTTTCGACAAGAAATGTGGTTTCATTACGTTAAATTTTAAAATATATGATTTGTAAAAAAAAAATTAATAGCGAAAATTAAAAAAACGGTGATTTTTGTGAAAGTATTAGCAAATTTCAGTGCATCTAAAGTTTCTGAGGCGTTGTTTACATTTACTTGAGAATTGTCAAAATCGTCAAATCACAAGTAGCGGTTTCTGTAACGTGCCACATTTGTTCGCTACATCGTGATGTGATAGAATGAAACGCTGGCAGCATTCCGCAAGGTTGCAAAAAAATTTATGTTCGAAAAATATTTTGATATGGAAGGAACCGCTTTACACTGTCAAGGAAACTGTCCGAAACTGCGGCGAAATAGGTATAAATACCAAGCTTTTATAGTCATGGAGTGACCTGAGTAAAGCCCAGATTTGAGTTAACAAAAAATTTATGGAAGTGTTTGAAAACGCTACTGTTCAATAGCGAAAATTCACCCAATCGCATGCAAGAGCTTAGGCATGACGTTGAGGAAAACTGGTGCGCAATTTCAACAGATTTCATCTAAAACCTGTGCGAAAGTATCCCAAGATGACTATAAAAGCTAAAATATTCAAATTGGGTATGGCCATTTTATTAAAAGTCAAGCAAACGGTACAATTTTCTATCGGGTGCAAAACTGGAACAATCCAGTTGCTACGTTTTTTGCAGTTTTCTTCTTTATCTGCTTGTATTACTTATTGTTCTTATGGCCTTCTGATAAAATGTGAAATCCGAAACTGGATTACAAAAAAGTATTCATATATTGCGAATATATCGCAAGAAAATTCACATTATGTATTACTGTTCCGGTTTTGCTCCTCAGTGTATATGTATAGATATTGTACTCGTATAATAAGTACGCATTATATTCCTACCTAAAATAAATAAGTATTTTTTTTCTGTTTCTTCTTCTTGGATACACTTAATCAATTAATTTCCAAATACTTTTTCGATTTTTTAATTTTTGAGACTTTCTGCTTTATTCCGACAGGGTGCGTGCTAATTGAAAAAGTACTAGGTAAGTTAGTACTATGAAACAAATACTTACAGGGCGTGTGTGAATCGGTAGCAAAGTTCTATGGGGAAAGCTGTTGAATAATATTTTTACTGTGGTGAGACAGTTTTGCCAATCTGCTGTGTGAAATGAAATCTTTTTTGACAGCAGTAAATTTTTCATAACCGCAGATTTATGCGCAATAAACTATTACAAATTTAGTGAAATTAATATTTTAAGAAAACATCTACCATCATTGATTGCAGTTCACCAACTTAAGCTTTTATTTTACGAAAAATTACACACAGCAGCAATCTTTGCAATTGTCAAAATTTTCTATGCATTTGGGCTACTGAAATTTTATTCACCTCAAACTTGTCAAAAATTTACTTGCCGCGAACTTTGTTACCGATTCACACACGCTCACAATTTCGACCACTTATTTTGAAGTACTTTGAACCAAATTCACGCGATACCAGTATCTTGACAAGTTTTGGTAATTTTTTTCTTTTATATTTTAATCTTAATTATTTTTTATAATCTACATATAACATAAACCATATAAGGTTTCAAACTGTGTACAATGATTAAAAATCGACAAAATTTCATCAAAATTTCACACTTTCTTTTCTGCGTTTTTAAAAAAATAGTTGGGTGTGCAGCTTTATAGCCCATTAAATTACAATATAATAAAGTTAAAGTTTAGAGTGGCATTTTTTTTGACGCTGTCACGCATTTTCTACCATACGAGGTATGTATTAGAGGTTTACGCCGACAGGCTTTGCGGTGGCGGCGTGGTCAACTTCAAAAATATTCGGCAGCGGCGGCGACGCCGGCCCTACTGCTCATAAGATAGATTTCAAAGAGCCATGAGGCTACTAATCTTATCATTTCAACTCGTCAGCGTTAGGCATTCGCCATGCCAATTATTCTGTTATTATAATTCTAATTATTTCATTATTGAATTAGTTTTAAATTTAAATATTGTTACTTCCTACTTGAATTAAAATGTTGAGTGTCTGGCGCTGATTGATGGGCGGACATATACATAATCACACGGATCTCTATGTTCTCTACAGATCCGTATATGCTATTTAAATGTAAAGAAATCAAAAAAATTTAAAAGTTTAGTTATTGGGGTAATTTATGTCGCTCTCAATAGATTTTTGAAATAATCTTATCAACCTTTATGTTAAATTACGGAGTTCTTACGATTTTTTGCGGATTACATATTGAAAACAAGGTTGGTCTACTTTTTTTCCAAAAGTTTAACCCATCAACTCGAACCAGAACGGGCCTTTTTGACCCACTGTTGAAAAAAATGATTTATAAATGGTTAACATTTCCACTAAAATATGAAGCGCCATATTTTTCTAAGGAGAACCGAATGTAATGAAAAATAATACTAATGTTTACCATAACCCTGTGAGAAAACATTGCGATGCGAGGGAGCAAAACTTTCCTGGGGTTTGACCACCCCTTNCATCAACTCGAACCAGAACGGGCCTTTTTGACCCACTGTTGAAAAAAATGATTTATAAATGGTTAACATTTCCACTAAAATATGAAGCGCCATATTTTTCTAAGGAGAACCGAATGTAATGAAAAATAATACTAATGTTTACCATAACCCTGTGAGAAAACATTGCGATGCGAGGGAGCAAAACTTTCCTGGGGTTTGACCACCCCTTAGGAATGCTAACGTAATTTTCACACAGCCACCTAGTACTTGTATACGTATGTGGGACTCCAGAATAAAATAACTTACGAATGTAAATATTAGCAAAAAAATGTGTTTGTTTAAAATATTTAAAAAAATACATAGAAAAATTAACTTGTCTTAGTTTTATCTCCAATAATTGCGGAGTTAGATGCAAAGAGGTCGCTTCTATTAAAACTGCTTTATGTGATATTGGCGTTAAAGTTTTTGATGTGCTATAACTTTCTTGTTGTTGTAGTAGGTGTATAAAAAAAGTAGTATTGTTGTAGTATTGAAAACAATTGTCTACTGCGGAAAAAATCGTTAGATTACCAGTATTCGACCCTAATTTAACTGTAATAAATGCGTTCGATCTAAAAAATATGTTACCTATGTTTTTTCTGAGTTACGCTCTTTTTGGAAAAATAAAGGAGATCATATTCTTGTCTAGTGGCCCAAATTATGCAAAAAAAAAACTCCTTTAAAAAAAAAATTTAATTTCGTAAAATTGTGTTTTTAAACGAGTAGTATTTAGGTCTTTCAAACGATGTATTTCAATGTACATACATCATGAAAATTTTGTACAAAATTCCTTAGGCGCCGAACGCCGCCGCCGCCGCGCTGATATTTTCGTACAATCGGCGGCGGCGCGTGAGGAATGACAAAAAACGGTGGCGACGGTGGCGTGGCTCGGCGGCGTATACCTCCAGTATGTATTTATACATACATATACATATGTTCGAAATTGTTTTACATGGTGGAAAATGCACAACACCGACATATATTTGCATACATACATACATTTTCAATAGTATTGGAGCTCGGCCGTTATATGTATTTTCTTTCTTCTTCGGTTTTGTACAATAATAATATTTTCAAAGTAGCACCTTACTAGCTGATAAGTGGGTGTTGTATAGTTATGATAAGCACTTATTTAGTTAAAATCAAATACAGAGTCGGACAATTGACTTGCTCCTTGGTACATCGCCGTATAAATAAAGTCAGTTTCTTACAAGACAAGAAGAAAACATTTCCACAACTTGTGGCTAGTGAAAAGGTAGATACATATTAAAATATTTTTAAATTAGTTGATTTTCCGAGAGGGCATTTTAATAGGTGTACATTGGTGTCATCTTTGTTTGAGTAGCTCGATAGCTGTTTAGAAACATCTTTTTATATACATATATGTATGTGTATGTATATGCATCTATAGATATGTAGTTTGCACTGAAATAGTGGAGTTAATGTGGTTGTTGAAGTTAAAGCTACCGGTGGTATTGGTGTCAGGTTGTAGCGTTATGCCAATTAAAATTTTTTTCCCAACAGCTTGTGGTTTCTTGCAAAATTCGATTTGTGAATTGTATGCGAATAAACCCGATTCATGAATTTTAAAAAAAATTTGAACATTTCGCAGGTTTGCATTACACTATGTAACAAGGTTTTTGTCCTTGGGTTGTAATTGTTATTTCCTAGTCAGTTAGGTCCCAAAAGTATAGAAAACGGCTATTGTCGCAAGATAACTTTGCTTTTGTGACCATGGCAGCGCTGATGCCACCACTCCACATCAAACTGGGTCTTATAAAGCAATTCGTCAAAGCTCTCGACAAAAATTCTTCAGCGTTCAAGTACCTACAAGACTTGTTCCCTAAGCTCTCTGAGGCGAAAGTTACAGCCGGTATCTTCGTTGGACCACAAATAAAGAAAATCTTCGAGTCTGAGGAATTCCCCAAGAAGCTCACTCGTGTTGAGAAAGCTGCTTGGATGAGTTTTATGTCAGTGGTACAGGGATTCCTAGGCAATCACAAAGCCGCAAACTACGTGGAGCTGGTCGAAAGTCTGGTGGAGAACTACGGCAAAATGGGCTGCAGGATGTCTCTCAAACTCCATATTCTGGATGCACATCTTGACAAATTCAAGGAGAACATGGGAGCATATTCAGAGGAGCAAGGCGAGCGCTTCCATCAGGATATAATGGAATTTGAGCGGCGATACCAAGGACAATACAATGAGAACATGATGGGAGATTACATTTGGGGATTGATTAGAGGAAGTGACTCGCAGTTTAAACGCAAATGTCGAAAAACCACCCGCTTCTGATTTACTTTTATGTTTTTGGTTTTCTGAAGTTTTAATAAAATTTAGTTTTGATTTATATGTGCTGTTCTGTATGATTTTCTCTGTAGTGAAAGACTCAAACACGTTTTTCTCATAATTTTAGCATATTTTAATGAATCACATTGTCCTGGTCACAAAAGCAAAGTTTCCGAGGAATATTAGGTGGTTTCCATACTTTTAAGGCATAACAGACTAGGAAATAACAATTACATCCCAAGGACTGAGAAATTTTTTTAATTGTTACTTAGTGTTATTTTTCTGTATGTACATACATAGCTGCATATACATAAGTACGTGTTCACAGTTTTTAATTATTTTTATAGCTTTAGATTACTTACATATGTATATACCTATGTACATATGTATTTATGAAGTACATGTCTTTCAGTTTCGTCGACCTAAACAAATGAGTTGTGATGGATTTTCAATTTTATTTTTTGCTAGTTTTGAACCTTTCGTCTCTGTGGTCTAATATTCTGTAGACAAGTTTTTGCATTCTCCATCACTTTACTTTCTCCATTCATTTGGTCTATCCAATTTCAATTATTGTGTTCATGCGAAAATGCACCACTAATGCAACTACCCTCTATATTTTTGGATTATTTTGCTACTTGTATGTATGTATCGCTTCCATCCCTTCCAACTATGTACATACATATATGTATGTATATATGCAATTTTTGCTATTCCTATGGCAAACAAGTTGCGAGAACTTTGGTTTTGTTCACTTTTTCGATGCAATTCGAATTCTGCATTTTATTTTCGTTTTATTTTTTCGTTTCCTGCGATGGCTGCATTGTTTGCTACATCCCTCTATTCACCCACATTATTGAAATGTATACCCACTGCATAGGTATGTATGTGTGTATCTAAATATGTATGTATGTGAATATTTATATACATATGTACATTAAGCAGGGTCGTGAAATACAATTTTTGATTTAAGAAAACTTATTAACCACTTTTGAACAAAAATCTGACAGAAATTGTTTGAAAACTGTAAACCGTTATATGTATGTCTTAACTAAGGAATAAAAATCTGTGAATAACGCAGTTTCGAAAAAAGTGTTGGTTAGGGCCTTTGCGAATTAAGGTAACGATATGTATGTATTTATATATATCAGGCCATAACCACCAAAAGGAGTTAAGCGATATTTTTTTTGAAAATTTTTGGTTTTGATGCAGAAATGTTCATAGAGCGTCTAGATGCATTTCTGCATCAATAATAAAATTTTTAAAAAGATGTCACATACATATGCACATCTTTTTGGCGGTTAGGGCTTGGTAAACATACCTTTTGAGATGGGGGCATTTTGCGTACTGGCATTTGTTTCCGCCACAAAGCAACTACACTGTCACGTCCGGTTTCTATACCTTCGTTAATGCTACTCATATATATTTGTAAATATCCGTATACATGTACATAGTTATAGCGGCTCCTGGAGTATTCGAGAGAAAGATTCTGCGGAAGATTTACGGAAGATTTACGGACCTTTACGCGCTGGTGACGGCGAGTACCACAGACGATGGAATGATGAGCTGTGTGACCTTTACAACGTCATAGACATCGTGCAGCGAATTTAATTACAGCGGCTCCGCTGTATTGGCCATGTCATTCGAATGGACACCGACGATCCAGCTCTGTAAAAATTAAACTCGGAACCCTCTGGTTGTCAGTACTGGATAATCCTTACTAATATTATAAATCCGAATATGAGTTTTTTTTTTGTCTTTGTTTGGCACGCTTTAATTTCTCAGCCGATCATCATAACATTTTGCAGAGGTACCATTTAGCCCGACTTGAAAGATAGGATAGCTTAGACGAAGGGGCGTGGCACCTCTCATACAAATGGAATTTTTCATACTGCGTACCTCTGGGAGTATTTGTGGTAGAGTAGATATTGGAACTTGGTATGGGGATATATGAAATCAATACTACTAGGGCTGTGCGATTATTCGATTACTCGAGCAAGTTGGTTAATCAATTATTCGGTTAATCAACTTCTCGAGTAAAAAAAAATAATAATTTTGCTCGTTAAAAGAGTTTGCTTTGGAAAATGCTTATTTTCTTTGTTACATTCTGTATATGCAAAAAAAAAATTTCGTTTTAATTTTTGAAAACAAAAACGTTGATTTCAAAGTATCAAGGAACTTTAACTACTTTATACATATGTAAAGAGTTGAAATGTTGATTACTCATTTTACTCGAATGGTTGATTAATCATAAAGCAAATTACTCATATAGTTTTTTTTTTGGTTAATCAAAAATCTTGATTACTTTTGTGTAATCATAATTTCTAATTAATCGAATAACGGAGTTATTTACTTTATGATTTGAGTAATCAATTAATCGCACAGCCCTAAATACTACATATCGTCACCTGAAATGCAAAAATACGTAACCAACATCGTCGCTGAAATACAAACAGTCGTAACTAAAAAAAAATCAATATTAACTTTTTGATAGATTTGAAATTCATCATTTCATCGAATTACAACTCCCACATCGTTTTATGAAAAAAAACTATTAGGCACGACTTTTTCCATTTCAGTGACGATATACCCATGGAAAAATGGTGAAATCACCCGTGGCACCTCCCATACAGACTGAATTTTTCGTACTACCAGCTGTTAAAAAAATAACCCCAATTCAACGTATGTATGCATTGAATGAGTTAAGTGGACATGGGCGTANTAGGGGCAGGGGGTGCTCGAGCCGCCCCCCCCCCCCTAACTTTCAAATTTTCCTTATATATAAATAAAATAGTACCCTGAAATGCCAGAGATATTTTGAAGAGGGTTAATAAAAGAAATAATAAATAAATTACACCTGAAGGAACGTACCTTTAATCTTCACTTCCATTGGTAATAAGTCGCGCAGTAGCCCTCCTGGGAAACCACGTGAGAAAAACCTCCAAGCACACACATCCACAGGTAGAGTCACAGCTCAGAGGCATTTTATGGTAGATATAACCTTGCTCACTTATAGGGTTTCTTAAGAATTGAATGCTCTACAAAAGTGTCCATTGCGGCGTAACCCTAACTCCAGCCAGCGAGGTAGTACGAGTTGCTAAACCCAATTTGTTTATGAAATTTTCGAGAGTTAAATTCAATTTCCTACAAGAAAGTCTTGGAACACCAAATAGCTAGCACAAAGATTTCTTGAAAGGCTTTGAAGTTGATCAACAATTTCTGAAATCTAGCTCAATAATTCATAAAAATTCCACACTACCTAAAATATACCATAAAATGCCTTTGAGCTGTAAATTGTGAAAAAAATCAAAATTTACGTGCATTTTAAGCGGGAATTCTTTGCACTTAATATTAATGGCTCAAATTTTCAGGGAATTTTTTCTAAGTAATTCCCACAAAATTGGTGGGAATGAAAAAAATAGTCGCGGAAAAAAGTAAAACTACAAAACTGCTTACTCAAAAAAGCTCAAAAAATATTATTAAAGATTTAAAATTGACATGAAAATTTATTAAATTTTCCTGAGTTTTGAACAGAGTTTAGAAATAATATTTTTTGTTCTAGTATGAACCAAATGTTTATAAAAATTAGCGGGAAAAATTAAAATAAAAAATTTTGCATATCGAAATTGTGAAAAATTCTCTGCGCCAATATTTACTGTTCCTCTTAGTTTGCGTGATTTGAAGCTTTAATTTTTAAATTATTTTTATCAAACGTTAATTTAATGAAGTTAATTTATGTTTAGGTAATTTTTTTTATTAAAAAATATTAAATGATAAAAAACAGTTGTTATTTCTGCAAAAAATCTTTTTACCCCTCTCAAAAGCTTTTTGGTACGTATTTTGGTAGGGGAAAAAATATATGTGGGTGGTAACACTGGTAGAGCGGAAATTGTTCATATAATGAGAATACACAATTTTTTGAACCGTTATATCTCAGAAATGGTGGCTCTTAGGAACAAAAAAGTCGAAATGGCTTTCACAGATTCATAATTGCACAATCTACACTTTTTGTCTTATCTGTTGGAATAATAAAATTTGTATACGAATTATTGCAAACTTGAATATTTTACTTGACCGGGTTAACAGGAAACAATTTTAAAGATATAGTTTAAATAAAGTAGCTATTAAAAAATAGTAGTCACACGGGAGAAAACGTACTACTCGTATATGCAGGCATGTATGTACATATGTATGTACTTAACGTCAGCGAACTACACATCAACAAGACAGTAACCGACATTGTCCTAACAAATGTTGGAGATACTACAACAAAAAAGAATTTCGTAACATTATCTATAAGGAAAATAATTTACTTGCCTATCAAATTGTCCTACGAAAAGGACATTCACATTGCCAGTTCAAATAACAAGCAGATGCGCACAAATGCCACATATTCCATGTGCGCTTCTTAATTATGTACATACGTATGTAATAGCTATGTATATGTATATATTTACTGGCATTGACATCTATGTAAACTTATTATTTGCTGTTCAAACAAATGTGCACACATGGGAACAGATGCAATTGCATGCATATGTACATATATATGTATGTATGTGAGTGCATACTTAGTCCTGCGAGGACTTGTAGATCACACGCCTATAAGAAATGGCTCTCACTTGAACAAATCCGAAGTGTTATGAAATTAAAGAAGCAACTACAGAAAAGCGAAACGCTAATTCTTGCGCACATAAACGGTGATGCACTTCTAAATACATATATATGTATGTATGTATGTACCCTGTAGTCAAACGTACTAGTTGTGAACTACTTCGCACCTAGTATGAACCACATGCCCAACTAGTCAGTCAACTATCCATTTTTTGCATGCCACCAACTGGTATTTTTAACATGGGGATGTCCTACGAGATGTTAATTATCAGCAGATTTCTGTAAGAAATATACCAGTCTCATACTAGTTCAAAATAGACAGAAAAACACTAGCCCAATTATGGACCAAAACCATTACTTTGGGGGTTAAAAAAATAATATGAATTCATGAATATACAATAAAAAACTTTTGATTAAGTTAAAAATAAAATGAATACTTCGGTTAATTTTCGAGTGAACTAAAATAAAAATAAAAGTTTTCATTCAAATAAATTATACTCATTAACTTTGCACATTTCAGTCTATTCTTTTTAAAAATTTATAAGAGTAATAATTAATGTTTAAAATTTGAGATTTGGATAAGAATAAAATAAATAAAAAACTCAAGCAGTTGTTAAATATTTTTAAATTTTGTCTGTAGTT